ACCAGACTGCATCTCACGATTTCTGAATAATCAAGGTAAATAATAGTTTTTTCAATTAATTAATCTTTAGTCAGTGACTTTTTTATCTCAACCAATACCTTTCATAAAGATTATAATTGAAAAAAGTTAATTGGTCAATCGGACCACGAACTGTAATGGATTTAGTAAATAATAGTGATGTAAATAAATTTCTTTTTGAAATAAAATTCTTATTGTATTTTCATATTTATGAATGCTAGTGGCACAAAAACAGTTCAACGGATGAAAAATACATTTAAAAATGTACTAATTTTATCATTATTCCAACAGGTTTTATGGATAATAAAATTTAATTAATCAGCATAGCGTGCAGCCCAGATGGTCTTATTGACTCGAAAATTGTTCCATTCGATTCAGCATAAGCACAAAAAATATGTAAATATTATTGCTGAGGTAGGTAATTTACGAGGATTTAAATTTTTTTGGTTTTTGCCCCACAGTGTGAGGTAGGAAGGTCGGTTAAAAAAAATTGTCTACTATAAACAAAGTTGAGATTCGTTTTTTCCACTCAATAAAACCCTGAAGACAAATGTTTGTGATAATAAATTTTTTTTCAATAAGATTTTTCGCCTTCGAGTTTTATCGAAAATCCCTGTGCAATGTATATAGGTGTGAATGTATTTATTTGCGTGAAGGCGTATTGAATGTGTGTTGTTATATTTCGCATGCGCTCGCGGTTGAAATTACCAATCTGTCGGATTCCCCTTAAAAAAAGAAACATCTCATGGTTTTCCTCCTGAAATATATATGCGATCGATATTGTGTCTCGAAAATTCTTAAGGTTTTATTTAATGATTATTCAGAGATCGTGAGGTGCTGTCTGTGTGACGTAGGTTTCAGAAAAACATTTTCTTTATCGAGCCAACGTTTCGATCTTTATTGAGATCATCTTCAGGGCCTGGGATTTACAAACATTGTTTAAATTTAACAAATACATGTAGGATGTGGCAAAAAGGTGAATTTATAAAATGCAAAATATATTTTTTATATTCAATCAAAGTATTTCTAATCACCACACGTTTTATTTAATTTTAAAAAAATACTTCCCAACTTTGACTTTCGGAATAACAAAATCTTTTCCCATTTCTTCAACCAAGAATCAATTTGTTTATTTATAATTTTAAAGGAAAGTAGATTTCGCAACCTTTTCATCAAATAACATCGACTTACAAGATTTAGCTCAATAAAGCGCATTAAAGAATTTAAAATCAATGGACATTTAAAAACGGAATGAAAAAGCTGGTACCGATCAGTTCATTTCGTTGTTGTCCGTCAGGTAGATTTAAGGACAAGGCTCTTATCTTAGGTAAACCTTTATCCAGGATTTCCTCCCTATTATAAACTTAAAGTCCCTCAAAATCCAATAATACTTTCATTTGTTTACATGCCTACGTTTTAAATTATCCAGGAATTTTAAATCGAAAGTTGTTTCCGATCATTTTGACCTGCAGACTAGTTTCTCCTTCTCGCCAACTTCACTCTACAATACAAAAACAAATGATTTTTGACAGCTGATTTTTTTAAAATAGCCTGATTTAAGAACGTACCTTTGGTACGATATTAGCTACTTTTAATTTACCATATTTTAATAATAGTACGTCTAATAATAAAAATTCTATTTCATGATTATTATTGTGGATCGTGTTATGTATCGACTTGAGAAATTTTGATTTTTCGAATTTTGTTGTTCACACATACCTTGAATTAAGACTGAAGATGTTGTAAAAGATTTTCTAATATTGAATATACACTGATGGGCAAAAAATTCCACCCAATTGATTTTTTTAATATATTTTCTCGATAAAAGAAAATTCTGCACTTAATTGGTCTCATTGTTTTTACCAATAAATATTTGTTTATGCTATGTTTTAAATTGGGAATATCCATTAGAGGTAAACACAATTAATCCTTAATCCACAACAAAGAAAAAGGATTTTTCGATGTTTAGTTTTGACTGAATTTAAAATGTTTATTCCATCTAATTTGAATTCTGAAGTAATAAATTGTTTAGGTTTTATCGTTGCATTCTTAATTTCAATTTTTAAACTGAAAAATGCTACTTAGTGCTGAGGATGTATAGTATAGTATTACTTTTAGTAAATAATTAAATATCGGTATATAATTATTCAGAAATCGTGAGATGCGGTCTAGTGTGATGTAGGTTTCAGAAAAACATTTTCTTTATCGTGCCAACGTTTCGGTCTCTATTGAGATCATCTTCAGGACCTGGGATTTAAACATTGTTTATAAATCCTTATGGAAGGTATTGGTTGAGGTAAAAAAGTCAGTGCCACGAGCGGATTTGAACCGACGACCTTCGGCTAAATACGCCGCTGCTCTACCACTTGAACTATCATGACTTCGATCCACTCGGGCACCAACTTCCCATCTCAGCCCCCTTTTGAATTTTCCCTCCTTTTTGCCATTTTTCATCCAATGTTTATAAATCCTTTCTATTCTATAAATTCATTTTTTTCACATTCTACATGTATTTGTAAAATTTAAACAATGTTTATAAATCCCAAGTCCTGAAGATGATCTCAATAAAGATCGAAACGTTGGCACGGTAAAGAAAATGTTTTCTGAAACCTACATCACACCAAACCGCATCTCACGATTTCTGAATAATCATCAACTAACGGTCACTAATCACCACACATCGGTATATATCTGTATCTCTTACATGAATTGTAAGGATACTTAAGATATGTACTGTAAGGATATGTGTAAATGTTATTATTATCGGGTTGTCCGGAAAATAATGCAGGATTTTAAGTTTTCATTAAAAAAAATCTATATAAAATATTCTGTTTACGTTTACAGGATTACTCATTNATCCTGCATTATTTTCCGGACAACCCAATAATTATCAAATATTCGTATTTGTTAAATCCATTAGAGTTCGTGGTCCAATTAAAATTCAATTAAAAATTTATTAACAACTCAATAATCGATTTTAGAGGTCCCTTTTTTCAAAAGTAAGCCATACGATATCCTGCGTTTTGAGCAAAATATTTAATAATATGTATATATCTATTAGGTTGCGTGGTCCTATTGACCAAATAAATTCTTTTCAATTAATTAAGTCTTTGGTTGAGATTAAAAAGTCAGTGTCACGAGCGGGATTCGAACCCAAGACCTTCCACTAAATACGCCGCTGTTCTATCATTTAAGCTATCCACTGGGACACCGACTTCCCACCTCAACCCACCTTTCGAATTTTCCCTCCTTTTTATCATTTTCGGTGGTTCGAATCCCGCTCGTGACACTGACTTTTTTATCTCAACCAATATCTTACATAAAGATTAATTACAATTAATGAAGGTTTTTAATTGAGATAAAAAAGTCAATGGCTCGAGCGGGATTCGAACCCACGATTTGTCGTCGAGAACCCAACCCGATTACACTACATTTGAAAAATGGCAGAAAGGAGGGAAAATTCAAAAGGTGTGGTTGAGATGGGAAGGTGGTGTCCGAGTGCATCGACGTCACGATAGCTCAAGTGGTAGTTCAGCGGCGAATCAAGCCGAAGATCGTGGGTTCGAATCCCGCTCGTGCCATTGACTTTTTTATCTCAACTAAAAACCTTAATTAATTGTAATATATTAATTGGTCAAACGGACCACGAAATTAGTGAATATAAAGATTAATTAATTTGAAATTAGTATTTGTATATAACTTATTAATTATAAAATTTAATTAATTTATGGTATGTTAGCAAAATTGTCTTGTTATTCAGTACTAATATTTAATATTACTTTTAGTGAATAATTAAATATTGGAATTTATAACATATATTACAAGTTGTGATTACAAGCAAAATTAATTATTTGATTTATTTAATTATTTTATCCTCTTTTCTTCGGCCTGTCAAACACGTTTCGTCATTTCCTCGTTTTTCCTCCCTGTGCTATTTGGTTAACAGTGTTTCTTTTACAGTTGTATAGACTCACCACTGAAGATGGCGAGAAGTTGAAGCGCGTCTTATAGAACAAAACAGCCAAGGTAGGCAGGCTAAAATGATCGGAAAGGACCAAATTACAACTTATAAACAACAAAACTTTTCGAAGATTAAACCTAATATACAGTGACAGGCAAACAAATCCACCCACTTGTAATATAACTTGATTTATATATATTTTTATATATTAATCAAAGATTATTTGGAGAACGTGAGTTGCGGTCTGGTGTGAAATACTACACATATTAATCAAAGTTTCACGTTTGTTAACGACTAAAAATTGAGTCGTCTAAAACCGTAAAAAAATGTAAATTGCAAAGGAAAATGACAAAAAGAAAGACGACAGATAAAATTTGTTTTGATTAGATTTTTAATGTGGGCACTTATTATCGGTTGTTTTGAGGCTTGTCTAAGCAATTCTCGCTTATCATCTAAACTTTCCTTGGTCTCGACCAGTCTTAAACTTTTTTTTTATCTCATGATTTGACATGCATGATTTTCATTCATTCCATTCGACATTCATGCATGGGCAATGAGAACGTTCAGATTATTTCCCTACTTAGCGATTGCTGAAAAAATGAATTTTAAAACGGAACTCAATTCTGCTGATTGTCGGACCATTTTTCACAAATTCTAAATTGAAATAATGTAATCATCTTAGAGAAATAACAACTCAAACAAATCTTATCTGTGATTGGGCCTTATTTCTTAGATCAACAACACTAAAAACTCCTTACGAAAAATGTAATCCTTTTTTGTATTCCAATATAACTCCTAACTATCTTGTAACTAATAATTCTTGACGTGTTGGTTAGTCTAGTTTATTGTTAAAAAATAGTTTTGTTGTCAAATAAAAATTTTAAAAAACATTTTAAAAAAATAAAACCAAGTGCATGACCCAGTGTATAACAAATTCAATATATCAGGTAAAATCGATTAACGATTTGAATAACAATTGCGAAATGGAACACATGATCAATAAACTGAAAATTAAATAATAGTAACACATAAAAAAAAAATTTTTTGAGACAAAAATTGTCAAAATTTTAAAAAGTAAATAAAATGCATGAATAGTTTATTTTGGCCGTTTATATAAATTTTTAAGGAGCAATCGTGTAAATTTGTAGACTTCGGATCTATTCATTGTCTTGTTTAGGTCGAAAAATGTCTGAGCACTTATGTTTCGGCGAGGAATACGATGATTGCGATCTGCAGTACACTGAAGAGAGCTCCGAGGCCGATCCGGTTTTGGAGAACCAGTACTACAACTCCAAAGCTCTGAAAGGAGAGCCGAATTTGGCTTTGGGATCTTTTTTAAAAGTTGTCGAGCTCGAGGGCGACAAGAAGACCGAATGGGGGTTCAAAGCGTTGAAGCAAGTGATCAAACTTTTGTTCAAGCTCGGCAAATACGAGGACATGATTTCCAATTACAAGCGGCTTTTGGAGTACATAAAAACGACGGTGAGCAAGAACCACAGCGAAAAGTCCATAAACGCAATTTTGGACTACATCTCGTCCTCCAACGACATGGGGTTGTTGCAGAAATTTTACGAGATGACCTTGGAAGCTCTGAAAGAGACGAAGAACAACAGGCTGTGGTTCAAGATCTTCACCAAGTTAGGAAAACTGTACTATGAAATGGGCGAGTTCAAAAAGTTGCCTGCAATAATAAAGCAATTGAAACAAGCTTGCCAGAAAGACGACGGGGACGACGATCCGCAAAGGGGCACGCAACTGATGGAGATCCTGGCTTTGGAGATACAGATGTATACGAGTCAGAAGAACACGAAAAAGTTGAAAGCGATTTACGAGCAGTCGTTGAGGATCAAGTCCGCGATCCCGCATCCGTTGATAATGGGCGTGATCCGAGAATGCGGCGGTAAGCTGCACCTGTCCGAAGAGCAATACGATAAAGCCCGCCACGATTTCTTCGAAGCTTTCAGGAGTTACGACGAATCCGGCAGTTCGAGAAGGACGAGCTGTCTCAAGTACCTCGTCCTCGCAAGCATGCTGATGAGTTCGGACATCAACCCTTTCGACTGCTTAGAGGTGAAACCTTATAAAAACGATCCGGAGATCCTCGCCATGACCAAGCTCGTGTCGGCGTACCAAAACGGAAATCTGAGCAAATTCGAGGAAGTCCTCCGTTCGAACAAGGAACACCTGACGGAAGACCCCTTTATACGGGATCATTTGCAACTGCTGACGAAAAACTGCCGTTCCCAGGTTCTGCTCAAGATCATCAAGCCTTATCGCAGACTCAAGATACCCTATATTTCCAAGCAGCTCAACATCGAGGACGATGAAGTTGAAAAACTCCTAGTCTCTTGCATCCTCGACAAGACAATCAAAGGGAAAATCGATCAAGTCAACAAAGTACTCATCATGGAAGGAGAAAGAAACCAGCCTGCACGGTATTCGTCGTTCGACAAATGGGTCATACAACTTTTTTCACTTCACGACGGCATCCTTGGAAACCTTTTCTAGAAATAATTTTGAGTAAATACATGAGTTATCTTAATTGTCAATCATTCCTCTTGTTCTATTTTATGGATCAAAATCATACGAACACTCGTCTTTTAATTTGGGAACAGACATTTCTAAATCTCAAACAAACCTTAATTCATATCGGGGGAAAAAAAATAAAAAACAGATGCTTTCAGATTTAAACTTTTTTTACATTGATTTCTGTTATCGACAAAATGTAAATCCTTAACCCTTCTATCCAATGATTTAAAATAATGTTCAAACTCAAGTTACAATTGAACCTGCTAGAACAAATAGGAACTTTTTCTGAAGAACCTCCAAACAAGCAATATTGTTATTCAGAAATTGCTAGTAATAATAGTATTAACGATTTTTTAATTAAAGGCATAAAGTATTTAAATTCGGCAGCTGGAAACATCACAATGAATAAATTGTTGAATTCGTGAGGAGCTGTCAAAAATAAGTAGTTTAGAAAAGAAACCGTTTTCATTTTTTTTTGCCGCCATTTCGACCTTGATTCGGGTCATCTTCAGGGCATAAATTGTGATGTTATTCTTGTGGTGTGGTATTGGTGTTTTGTGAAATTGTGTGAACAGTTGACTCAAAAATTGAAAAAAGGTGTTTTTCTAAACTACTTCTAAAAAACACACATCACAATGAATAATTTGTTGGATTCGTGAGGAGCTGTCAAGAATGAAGTAGTTTATAAAAATCTTTTTCAGGTTTTGCCGACGTTCCGACCTTTATTCGGGTCATCTTCAGGGCATTAGTGGGATACTATTCTTGTGGTGTGATATTTGTGTTGAGTGAACAATTGTCTCAAAAAATTAAAAAAGGTTTCTTTTCTAAACTACTTCACTCTTGACAGCTTCTCACGAATCCAACAAATTATTAACAACCGGCCACTAACAAAAAAAAACACATAATGAATAATTTGTTGGATTCGTGAGTAGCTGTCAAAAATGAAGTAGTTTATAAAAGAAACCTTTTTCATTTTTTTTTGCCAACGTTTCGACCTCTATTCGGCTCAACTTCAGGGTATAAAGTGTGATGTTATTCTTGTGGTGTGATATTTGTGTTGGATGAACAATTGTCTCAAAAAATGAAAAAAGGTTTCATTCTAAACTACTTCATTCTTGACAGCTTCTTACGAATCTAATGAATTATTAAACAAACGGTCACTAAAATAACACACATCATAATGAATAATTTGTTGGATTCGTGAGGAACCCTAAAAAATGAAGTAGTTTGGAAAAGAAACCTTTTTCATGTTTTGCCGGCGTTTCGACCTCTATTCGGCTCATCTTCAGGGCATAGAGTGTGATGCTATTCTTGTGGTGTGATATTGGTGTTGTGTGAAATTGTGTGAACGATCGTCTCAAAAAACGAAAAAGTTGTTTTCTAAACTACTTCAGTCTTGACAGCGTTTCACCAATCCAACAAATTATTAAACAACCAGTCTCAAAAAAAGAAAAAAAAAACGAAATTTAACGAAGGTTTCACGAGACAGACAACCAAACTTGTCGGCAATTTTCAAACGTGACAAAACTCCCATATGTTTTGGTTTCGGCGTTGGATTGAATCGATGGCCAGGATTAGTTAGATTTTCAACTATTTCCCGTTTTGTTGCTGGAAAAATCCGCAAATCTCCTTTTGAACCGTACGCCGCTTTTAATCGTTGCGGGGCCGGCCCTTGGAAGGGTTCTTTTGGTGCAAAGAGGCCGGCCCAATAAATCTTACAGTTTTCCCAGGATTTTGTCGTTTATTGAGTTGTGCCTTTCTGGAAGAGTCTTTAATAACTTGAAAATATGTCCCGCTACCGGCCCTCGCCATTTTCTCAGGTCTACGCCAGTTTTCCTTCCTACGCCTTGATTTATGGAGCGGCTTCACTTTTTCTCCTTCTGGAAAAAGCCCTATGATGATGGCCAATAACTGGCTGCCTGCTGGTAATGCTTGTCCTAGAAATGGTCAGCCTCGTGTAAATGTTTCCTCTAAAAATAAGTATAAATATTTGTAAAAATAAATACAACAAAATTATCCTAGTAAATAATTGTTATAATCTCAGTTTTAAATCTGAAAAATCTATTTTCACGACGAAAGAAAAAAAAGCACGGAAATCTGGGTTACTTTAATATTGCAACCCTACAAGGTTTTAATACAATTTTTTTGTTATGGGCAATAAATTACTAACAGTTCCAATTAGTTAATTATTAAGTTTATGCGTTTGTTCTACTAATCAGAAATTAGATACAAGTTAAGGAAATTTAACCATGAGACATTTTGTTAAAACGAGAATTTTCCTTCTGAGGTCTGCGGGGTGATGAACCAGTTTGGTCGTTTCCGACCATTTTCGTCCATATGCTCATTTCTTTTGCCTGTGAGAGCGTTTTGGCTTCTCGCTATCTTCAATGCTGGCTCGGTGTGGTTCCCAGTATTCATAAATTATTTAAATTATTGATTTATGATGGATTTCCACTCACATTAAAATTGGGTTGATTTTATGTTTAGTCAGTTCTCTACGATATCTTATGCAGACATCACAACAATATTTCACAACTATTATCATTTTTAAGACATGCAATTGCGAGGTTTGCACATATCTGCGGAGGGTTGAACCAGCAGTTTAGTCGTTTCCTATTATTTCCGTATTTTTTGCTCGTTTCTTTCGACTTCTCGCCCTTTTCAGAGGGGTTTGTTTCCGTCTAAGCGATCTGTGGAATTTATCATTATTTGGTAAATAAAATAGTGTACTTTTCATCTATGGTGTAGTCATCATTGTAGGTGGGTGGAAGAAACGGGTTGATTGGAATATGATTGGGGTATTGTCGGTGTCTCTCCCTGCTTATAACCCTGACAACCTGATATTGCCCATCGCTGAAGATAAGCCAAAAACATGTCTGAACAAAGCGAAAAAAAGGCGAGTAGACTAGACTAAAAGATCATCACACAGCAGACTCCAGGAGGAATTTTACAAAATTTAATAGTAAGGACATAACTATTATAAAAAAAATTGTTTTATCCAGCAATTTGGGCTTAGGCAATATCTAAGAAAACAAAAACATCGCTCCTAAAATTGTAACAAATTGTAAAACATCCAAAATAGTAAAAAAAAATTAAATTGAAACTGGTGAAACACCTAAAATATCGAAAAATTTCTAAAAAGGTGTTTTACTTGGTTTTTAGTTTTTAGCTACCGATGGAAGTGTTAGTTGCGAGTTGGACTTTTGATTCGACTATTTCTACTAGATCTCAGATACCATTCGCTCCAAAAATTGTACCCAAAATGCAAAAAAAATTAAACGTGGTGAAACATCTAAATATCAAAAAAATTAAAAAATATGTTTTCTCGATTTATTTCAGCTGCCGGTGGATGTGTTTAAGTTTTGATGTATTCGACTATTTCTACTAGATCTCAGATACCGATCGCTTCAGAAATGGTACCCAAAATTCAAAAAAAAATTTAAAACTGGTGATATATCTAAACAAATAGGAAAAGTAGATGTTTTAATTGTTTTCTCATTGTAATCTCAGATACCAATTGCTCCAGAAATTGTACACAAAATTACAAAAAAACTGGTGAAACATCTAAGTAGGTGTTTTACTTGGTGTTTAGTTATTCATTCCAAAATCATTTCATTGTAAACGAGTAATTAATCATTGCTTTTATTAATATTCCGTTAATCCGCTATGAAGGATCAATTGTAGCAAAATGATAATTTTTCAGGAAAGCGACTGTTTTTCACCTACGCGGTCGGTGGAATGTGTCATTAGTTGGTAAGTGGAACTGGCGTGGATGTAAGGAATTTGTCATGTTTAATCTTTGTTAATGTTGGGTAGGTGGACGAAAAGGGTTGATTGGACTGTGATGAGAGGGTTTTAGGAGGCTGGCCCTTTCGCGTTCCCTCTCCCCTAATTATATTGTAACTGGAAGGGAACTCGGAACTCTAATAAGCGAGCCTTATAAAAGGGACGGCGGCTTGTAAAAGGGCGAAGAGGGTTTAATAGGGGTGGATATTGTGTGCCGGGAGGGGGGTGGATCCCCCGGGCCTCGGAATGGGGCATTATCACATGAATGAAATCGCCGGGGCGGGGGTGGGTCGCAGGCGAGGGCCAATGGGGCGGCCGAGGGCGGGGCCCCCACCAGAATGATAGGCCCTAATGGTGCCCCGTACGGTAGTGGGGGACTTTATAAGCGCCCGCCCGTTCTTACACGCCGACAGCCAGTGGTGAACATGCAAGTCTATAGGTTGCTCCCGGAACAGGTCATGCAGACGGACAGGCAGCATCACCTTGCTCAGCAGGCGAACGCTATGCTGAAGGGTAACGCCGTCCCGCCTTCTATAGTCGTCGACTTGCTGCCTCCTGGCTACCAGAACTCTTTGGGCCAGTCCCAAAACAGCCAGGACAGTAGCTTAGACTCTCCGAAAAAGGACGATCACTTAAAACGTAAGTACATTCCATTATACTTAACACAAAAACGTTAATTCAAGTCAATAACCAAAACACAGACCTCAATCACGTCCTACTTTAATCTAGAATTTAAATTTTTAATAATTTAAAAACATGAACTACCGCATGTCCTAACAAAAAAATTGTTAAGCCTTATTCCTGTCGAAATTTGTCTACAACTTGTCTCACATTAAAAAAAAATCCTCTTGCATTCCAGTTGCTCGTGTCACTAATTTTTCGACTCAGCCACACTACAATAAAAGCATAAAAAATAATAAAAATCACTTAAAATAATTAACTTTGATCCTTATTTGCTTAGTCGTCATAATTCACCATAATAATTATTCCAATTAATTATTCTTTTTATCTAGTTTTTAGTTGACACAAAAAATTAGTATCACGAGCGGGATCCCGTAACCAAACACCTTAGATAAAAACAATAATTAATTGAAATAATTACTTTGAGTAATAGGGCCAAATAAGATTATTAGGTTATATAGAAATATTAGAAAGTATTCATCAAGCCTTAATAAATTTAAGCGGGATAATAAATATATTTCACGTAAATCATGGATATTTTTTTTCTAATGATCAATAGCAATACGTATATTATAAACCATACTTATGAACATGAAAAATTTTAATTTTTTTTAAATTTTGTATCAACAGTTTTTTAAATAATTTTAAATGAATTTTTTAACTTAATTAATTTTTCATCTCAACCAATGCCTTGGATGAGAATAATTAATTGACTTTAATTATATTTTTTAAAGTTTTGTTTTCATACTGTTTGTGTTTTGTCAGTTCCCAATCATTTTGGTCTGCCTTCTCTGGCTTTTTTGGTCTGGTCGATGCATTACAGGTTCTCGCCATCTTCAGTGGTCTATATAGTCAAAAAACGGATACTATTTGACAAACCAACGAACGACCACTGAACATGTCGAGAAGGAGAAATGCGCCTGGCCAAAACGGCCAGAGTGTGCAAACCAAAAAGATCTGAAAAAACTAAACTTCAACATCACCCCGTAGACATGAGGGAAATTTATGTGTTATTGGTTAGGGTATGTTGTTGCATGTTGCTTGATTGAAACATAATCGTTATGATTATATTATTAGATGATAAAATTAAACTGGGGTGTATTACATGAATGGACTTGTTGCTTTGATCAGAGTTATTGACGCGTATATCATACTGGACATACATTTGTGGGATATTAACGCGTGAAAGTGAATGCGCGGCCACTCGGGGGGGTTGGTCGATTTGTCAAACATCGGCAGATGGGGGTTCCGGTCAATCCGACCCATTAATTCCGCGTACAATTACCGATTTGGCTCATCTGTCCACCCTCACCTGCTGTGCGAGCCATCCTGCCCCGTCCCCCCCGGATGTTGGGAGTGGCTAAGTGCCTTGGAGACAGTTCGTCCTGGTATATTTTTTTCTAAAGATAAAAACTTGTTATTTACAGAAGAGGCGCCCAACCAGGAAAGCAACATCCGCCGGTACAGGACGGCGTTCACCAGGGACCAACTAGCACGTTTGGAAAAAGAGTTTTTCAAGGAGAACTACGTATCGAGACCTCGGAGGTGCGAATTGGCTGCCCAGCTCAGCCTTCCCGAGTCGACGATCAAGGTGAATAATAAAGCAATTAGTACCCGGCTGCCAAGCCGTCCTAAAACATAAAATCATCTGAGTAATAATGGGTCATAAAACGATAACCGCCCTTCAATCCCGGTAGCGCGTATTGCCGAGTTACTAGGATGAGATCACACGTGTCGGAACTTCAAAGGCTTCCATCCCAATGCCAGATAAAGAAAATGTGCTAATGGTACCGACAAAAACGGTCTTCGTATCTCCTCACTTAAAATTAATTTCGGGCCATGTGCTTCCTCATCCGCCGAGGCGGAGCTTTCAAAAACTTCTTTTTTTAGAGGACGTTTTATTGTATAATTTCGACCCGGTAAACTTTACGCTTCTTAAATAGTTCTCGAGCAATGCCGTAAAATGGATTTAATTGCTATAATAAGCTTTTCGTAGTTCAATTTGAATAGAAATTGAACCAGATCGAAAGGTTTAACCAATCGGCTTCTGTTCAATCGGTCGGTTTTACTTTGAAAGTTCTTAAGCTCATAAGTATAGTTATTGATTCTCTCAAGTTAATCAGGTACCGTTTCTAACGGAAACTCGCAGGTATCCTCAAAGCCATTACAGGGATAAATAAAATGACAATGAAGTAATAATCCTGATAAGCTTATGAAAAAGGAAAAGTATTGCGGCTAAGGGTTCACGACAGATCTCGGATTTCTTTTTAAATAGCCCATTATAAAACATTTAATCCCATGGGAAATGTCAATTTTTAATCTTTTTTTTTTTAATTTTAGGTATGGTTTCAAAATAGACGAATGAAAGACAAACGACAGAGAATGGCGATGGCCTGGCCGTACGCAGTGTACACGGACCCAGCACTTGCAGCATCCCTGCTCCAAGCCGCCGCAGCAGGTCTGCACTACCCTTATCCGGCATATTACCCCCGTTATCCTTATCCACCGCCGCCACAACAGCCTTCCGCCTACAGAGAAGAACCTCAGCAACAGGATTGCGACGGTTCCTCGTCCTGCCGGTGCGGTATCATCAACTGCGTCGCCACGGGTGGATATCCAGTGCCATCACCACCACCTCCCTCGTCTTCACCGACAGGAGTCACGAGGACTCCTCAGCCAAAGAAATTATTCCAACCGTATAAGGAAGACCTACTTGAAAAGCGCTAACTCAAAGCACTCCCTTTCGATAATTACCAAAGCCTCCCCACCCCCGCACATCCTTTTCCTTAAGTAACACGTACACTTTGTTTTAAAGTGTAAATAATAAATTTATGTTCTATGTGAGCCCAGAGAAATGGCTTTGTTCCCCTTAAATGTAGTTGTATAATATGTATATTATTTTGTAAATATTGTTTTATTATAGTTAAAACCTGAGAAATTGTGTATTGTTTGTACATATATATTATGCTGTAATATTTATTAAAATGTTCCGTTTGACCTGGCTCTATTTTATAAGGGATTAATAAATGTCATTCAACATTGAACAAGCCTTAATTACTCCCTGAACAGCCCACCCCCTATTATGAATTAGAATACTAATATAAAATACCCCAGGTTATTAACGTAATGATTTAAAAAATAAATAAATAAATGAGACAAATTTTTTTTTAGTGTGGACAGAAAAAAAGAAATAAAAGAAATGTCATGGGATCATGCTAAACTAGACTACTAATCGTAGTCATATTCAACATTTCTGCTAATTATTCAGTTTATTATTTATTTGAATAAATAATTACGTTATGCTAAATTACCGTTCGTAGATTTTTTATGGAAATATCGCGTCAATTTAACGCGTAATTTGTTCAAAATGGCGTAAATTTTTAATTTTTTAAATAAAAATTAATGAGTTACAAAACTTTTATGAACACATGTGATCGAACTCGATGAATTACGAACTTGGATAGGTGAGGTTTAATTAAATTAGGTATCAAACCTTCATTACTGCCTACAAATAATAATTAATAACTTTATTAACTATTAATTATGGGTTAAGGCACTGAATTGTAATTTTTAACTGTAATTAAATAATCTAGAAAATTTCTCATGTGTTAAATGGGTATATTTTCTCTCCTATCTCTTCTGCTTTTTACATGGAGCAGCTTGTGTAATGGGTTATGATAGTAATAGTTTTTCAATATTATTGCTAACTCAATTAATTATTCTTTTTATGTAAGGTCTTGGTTGGGATGAAAAGTTGGTGTCACGAGGGGGATTCGAACCCATGACCTTCGGCTCAATACGCCTCTGCTCTAACCACTTGAGCTATCGTGATAAGTGGTTAGAGGAGCGGCGTAATTGAGCCGAAGGTCGTGGGTTCGAATCCCGCTCGTGACACTAACTTTTCCATTTCAACCAAGACCTTACATAAAAAGAATAATTAATTGAAATAGGTAATTTGGTCAAATTAGACCACTAGGCATAAATGGATTATTGTGAATTTGCAACAATCAAATTTTCACAATTGCGATTAATTTAAAGTCTTAAATTTTGAAATCAACTTCAGAATTTTAATCAAAACTGAATAAAATCAATAAACAAGTGGACTTCATCAAGGATAGAGTACGAAAAAAACGTTTTAAATAACGAAAAAATGTAATATCAATATATTTAATTTGTTGAACTAGAGAAAAACGACCTGCGTGAATTACAAAACATAGGTTGATTGGGAAACATAATTATACAAAAATAATATAAATATAAATTATGAACCAAATATTTCATGTTCACATAAAATGTGGTGCTATTCTTGTGGTGTCATGTTTGTTTCGTGTTGTTTTTCCCCATAAAATATTGTATTTCATTGCTGACCGCTCCTCACTACTTCAACAAATTATCGAACAACCGGTCGCTAAATAACACATTAATATAATTGATTTATTATTTTTTATTCAGCGAGGTTGAGTTGAAAAATTAACGCCGTTAAATTTCCTTTAAGGCCAATCTCAAACTTTAATTTTTAATTTTTGATACAAAAGCAAATCATTCAACAACTGCTAAATTTAAAATTTAAAAAATACTAAATTAGCAACCTCGATGGAAATATTCAAGGTAGAGCTTGGAAAATTTCATAGCAACTTCTTCGTTTAATATGCTTCCAAGCTGCATACACTTTTTTTAATTACATCGAACCATATAAATCACGATTTTTCTCAATTCACTCTTTCTTTCTCACTCGCCCACTCTCCGTATCTATTTTTCTCTCTATAGTATATATATTATCTCGAAACTTGTCAGTGGATTAAATAATACAGGTGTTTTTTGCCTTTTACAAGTTAATATTAAAAACAATCCGGTAATTCCAATCGGAGGATCCAAACGAAAATAGAAATAATACTAAAGAGATGAAAGTTCAAATGTTTATTATTAGGTCGATTGAGCGATAAACGAAATAACAATCTACACCATCGTATAAACCAAACAGGACAATTCATAATAAATTCATTATAACTTCCAATTTTTATTATTTCGGTAGTATATGAATTGAAAAACGTCATCGTGTTTTGCGTTGCAAATGACTGTCGAAATTCATCTTCCAGGATCAACCAGCTTTTCATCGAAAAAGACCTCAAATACAACGCGATTTATCGTTCAAAGTCTACAACAAATCTTACAAAAGATTTATCGACGTTATCACCAGATAAACGGCCGACAGCTACTTATGAAAATAAAGCGCCTTCTCATATGTTATTTAGTTATCGCATTCAACATTAAAGGCGACTTAACTTTCAAGCACTCAGGCCGGTGTCAATGTACATTTACTAAATTCTAAATTAAAAGGAAAATATGGGGTTTTGACTGTGAGATGGTCACTCGCTAGCCGTTTGATCACTCAGGGTCAAGTTCGTCAGTTCCTTCTACACCTCAAATGCTACAAATAAATTCGTATGAATCGTGGTCCAATTCTCAACCCTTTCGCAGATATTCAACTTTTTTTCATTATTGGGAGATCGTGAGGTTCTGGTGTGACGTAGGTTTTTTAACATTTTCTTTATCATGCCAACGTTTCGATCATTATTGAGATCATCTTTAGGACCTGGGATTTATAAACATTATTTAAATTTTACAAATACATGTAGGAGTTGACAAAAAATTAATGAATTTATACAATGCTAGACAATTTTAGATTAAAAAAATGAATTTATATAATGCTAGAAAATTTTAGATTAAAAAAAATGAATTTATACAATGCTAGAAAATTTTAGATTGAAAAAATGAATTTATACAATGCTAGAAAATTTTAGATTAAAAAAATGAATTTATACAATGCTAGAAAATTTTAGATTAAAAAAATGAATTTATACAATGCTAGAAAATTTTAGATTAAAAAAATGAATTTAAACAATGCTAGAAAATTTTAGATAAAAAAATGAATTTATACAATGCCAAAAAATTTTAGATTAAAGATATGAATTTATACAATGCTAGAAAATTGTAGATTGAAAAAATGAATTTATACAAGCTAGAAAATTTTAGATTGAAAAAATGAATTTAAACAATGCTACAAAATTTTAGATTTAAAAAAATGAATTTATACAATGCTAAAAAATTTTAGATTCAACCAAAGTATTTGTGCTCACTGAAAGTGTTTGTTTTCCGTCTAGATGTGTCATTCTTGTCTGTCGTGTTGAAAGTAGTTTTTTTTTTCTATTAATTATATGACAATGATTTGACTTTAATCTAAACTAACTCGATATGAGTCCTGCTTCCTGCTGTCTGACACGAAGCAAATCACCCTTGATCTACAAGGAAAAACCAATCTGAAGATTTTTTGGGGAAGAAGTATCTTCTTAAAGATGTACGAACCTGTTTCACGTCTAAACCCAAATAGTACATTTTAACTACTCCTAGTGACCTCTTGAAGATCAACGTTATAAGCAAATAATCTAAAGTTAATCTGGTTAATGATCAATCAATGTAAACAATCTTGTATTTCCGATAGGCATGATACCAGGGCAGGGAGTAGAAGAATGATAATAATACAGAAACAAGAACGAAACAGTCTTTGGATCGAAGGAGAATCTACCATTAGTATGATAAATGTGTGGTGTTTAGTGACCGTTAGTTAATGATTATTTGGAGATTGTGAGAAGCGATCTGGTGTGATGTAGGTTTTAGAAAAAAAAATTTCTTTAAACTGCCCACGTTTCGATCTTTATTGAGATAATCTTCAGGGCTAAAAGTGTTATGTGTGGATGTACCATTATTGGGTGTCGTGTTGAGAGTGCCATGTGAACAAACACTTTGAGCCCTGAAGATGATCTCAATAAAGATCGAAACGTTGGCACGATAAAGAAAATGTTTTTTCTAAAACCTACGTCACACCAGACCGCATCTCACGATCTCCAAATAATCACTATGGTTGCACTACCTATCTATGTTTCCCTGGGGAATATTGGTTGAAAAGTCTATCGAAAAAATTAAAATGGATTGATAAAATATAAACCAGGAGTAATAAAGTAATGACCTTTAGTCAATTTCAATTTTTGTAACTCATTATCAATCAGCAGAAACAATTTTAGATTTCTGATAAACCTGGTGTCACAGGTTGGTTTGTTTCTTTAATTTGGAAAATCATCAAATAATTGGAAGTACAAAGCTGTCTACGAAATATCGCATTCTTAGCTACTGTAATAACCAAACAATGATATTCTAGTCTGGGCTTCTGGAGGTATGAAAAACCTAATTGACTGCATTGGCAAGCAGAGTACAAACAGTATGCATAAATCACTCACCTTTTGCCTAGAATATTTTACGTATGTTTGGAAAATTCTAAAAGTTTATAATAAACAAATTTTCCTAGTTTCCAATTGCATATTGTTTCATTTTTTCTCGTAGTAAACCTAACTACTGACACCGCGATTTTTTAAATAATGAGAGGTTAGGAAGCTTAAGCTTAAAAATATGCCTAGATGCCAGACCCTGTAAAACCCTCTCATTATTACTTTTTATTGAATCCTACCTAACTGATCGCTGTTTCAGGTTCGCGGCAATGAATTCTCGGAAGTCAAACAGATACAGGCCGGTGTGCCGCAAGGTAGTATCCTTGGTCTTATCATACATATCATTTATACTGTGACCTACCAATACATCCTGACACTATTATCATTACCTACGCGGTCGACACCGCAATCCTACCCTCTAACTCGAATCCTGTCCAAGCTACCTCCAACATCCAGGAACACCTTGAGCTTATCGAAGACTGGTGTAAAAAATTGAGGACAAGGCTGAACGAAGAAAAATGCACTCAGTGTACTTTTACGCTGAAAAAGCAGTCTTGTACATCAACAACAAAGAGATACCAGTTTCCACTCAAGTCAAATATCTGGGACTATATCTCGACAGCAAACTGATGTTGAATCCCCACACGAGACTTAAAAAACAGCAACTTAACACAAGACTTGGACTACTACGAAGACCTCTAAGACCAAAATCGACTTTGACAATTAAGACAAAGCTAACACTGTACAAAACTTTACCAAGACCA